TTTTCTGGTTATGTTAATGGCAATAATTATTTAATGAATATTGTACGTTTGATAATTCAGCACATGACACCAAAGACAAATTGAGAAACACAGTCGTTTATGTTTATTCATATATTTGTGCTTGTCTTTTCTATGTGTTCTTCTATATGGTTTATTTAATTCAGACAATACTATTACTTTAGAAAAATTATGTAAGTTTATAAAAATAATACAGGTCAGTCCTCCAAGTTAAGTTACGTTTGTTCACACATGTGCATGTTTATATATTGATATGTGTAATTGTAGGATATATATTTTCTCTGTAACTTCATTCTACAATACAAGGACACATATCATCAAGCAAGACGGCGACGGCGCAAATTATCGATCTATTACAAGTGTAGATAATGTGTCGTTATTATTGGATTCAACACATCTTATCAGAGGCTATCGATGAGTTTACTTGGCCGAAGTACTCACAAACTTAATAAAGGCCGAAGGAATTTATGTTAAATTTGTGAGTACATACGCAGTTTAAACATCTACTACCACGTGAAAAATGTGTTAAATTCTCCCAATTCTCTTTTTTTTTGTCGTTCGCAATATAATGGAATTGTGTGCGACTGTCATACAAGTGAGAGGTTTAGTTAGCTATAAAACCAGGTTTAATCCACCATTTTCTACATAGTACCAAGTCAGGAATATTACAGTTGTTATCCATTCGTTTGATAAGTTTGAGCTTTTGATTTTGCCATTTGATTAGGGACTTTCCGCGTTTTGAATTTTCCTCGGAGTTTGGTATTTTTGTTATTTTACCTTTTTCACCTTTTAAGGAAACCGGCATTACCATTCATATGTATAGCGCATGACTATATCCCAGTGAAATCGACAAAGTTTTTACATTAATAACATTTTTTCCGTTAACATGGTCTGTCGAAGGGTAAATCATGGGAAGAAATTTTACCAGTTTAGAGTGTTTTGTTTTGTCTTGATGCATGATGTTTGGTTTGATTTTTAAAGTGTTTGTTCATTCGTATAATCACAAGATTAAACTCGTAAAATCAGTCGTTTCTATCTATTTATACGCACATCATAAATCCAAAACAAACATTAAGCGTACTGCTTTAAACTAAAACATTTATAAATATCAGTTGTATGGCAGCATGGGTAACGACTCTATACCTTACAAAAATGAGAAGATGTGGTGATTGGCTATCCATTTCATGAAGACAGTATAAAAAAGAAAAGAGATGTTCTTCAGTCATTACGGAAACCTATTACATGACTTGTCCTGTTTAAATCATTTAGTCTCGTTCGATAACTTACAGTTCCTTAAGATACTTAAGTTAAAGATATTAGATATAAGTACGTTAAAATTTAAAATATGTACTTTTACAAAAATGGAAGACTTACCCTTTAATGTTATGCTTAAGTACAAAGAGAAAAAATTCATTACAGCTATTTTTATCATATCACTATGTCTTTTTACTTACTGTGAAAAATCGTTGGTTTCTCCTTCTATTTGAAATGGGGAAAAAATAAAATGATTTCATTTTTAAAACCCAAAACATTCAGTTTTTCTTCAAGCCTTTAAAAACTATACTTACTTCAAATAGTTGCTGATGGTTTCTTCACAAAATATAACATTTTACACATTTATATATCACTCTCCTGTATTCACAATTATTCTATATTAACGTAAAATGTGAAATCAAAACTAATTAAGCTATGTCATGCATATGCAGCCGGGGTCATTTATAACTATTTCTTTATTAAGATAAAGATAAATCAACTGACATTTTTATTACCTACATAAGTATGTTTTACAATTTTTCAAGTGTTTGTTTTATAATATCTCCGTATCAAATTTTTAATGATGTGTTTATAAATGTTGACTGCTTTACCTGATGTATTTCATTTCATTTCATAACGATTATCAAGAGTCATTCTCTGTCGTCACCAAAGAAAATGAGAAATGCATACTCTAAGATTTCCTTTATTTATATATCAGGGGTTTGTTATGGTGAACTGACAACAAAAATAATATCCATTTCGAAATTTGAAATGTTTGTGGGCATGGAAACAACTAATTTTTTATTAGAATTACGTCAACCCATCTTTTCCCATTTTGTGGCATAAACTTATATTTACACTTTGAAGTATTTGATATGCTGTATTCTTGATTTATGTGTTTGTGTTTAATAAGAGAAATTTATTTGAAATATTTGGGGTTTTAGGGTTTTTCTTTATTTAAAAGATGTATTTTTTATTTATTTTAATGTTATTTGCTAAATATTAACAGGTTGATTCATGCACTTATTTCATATCAAATTATTAGTTCTGTTCAAACAATAACAAATTTACACATTTCAATGCTTCACTAAGTCAATGATAATTAAATATAAGCATATGAATATTGGAGATTTTCGCCTTGAAATGACCTTGCTCTGTTGACTTTTCCATATATCTCCAGATCAAACAAAACATTTATACATTTTGTATGCAAGTTGTTGGAAACTGGGTGCATGGTGAATGACTCAATATCAAGCGTTCAAAGAATTACCTTTTCTGCCTACACAGGTGTGGCCATTGCCATAGTAACCCACACCATCAAAACTTTTTTTTTCGATAACTTGATACAATGGAAAAGACAAAACGAATCAAAATACCAAATGTTCGCCTTTGATATTTGAATTTGATCAACTTGTTCAAAGGAATACTAAAAAAAAATTGTACTGATCAAATTTTTATCATTGCCATTTTTCTTTTGATTTTTTTCTTTCTTCTTTCACTTGAAACTCTTTGTGTGCAGGCATTATTTGTCGCATTCCAACTATGGCTTACTACTTCCAAAGGTCGATTCTTCTTGGTAATTCTTTTTTAAGATTTTCGTACATTTAACATTTTCAGCTTCGTTGATTTCCTTTAATTCTTCTTTATCAACGACCTATTTTTCTAAAATATTCCCTATTCTCCTCTGCTCAGCCTTGAGACTTTTTCTTTTCGTTTTGTATTCTTCGTCTTCAATCCAAAAATGAAAACAACATTTAATAAATTTCGTATCGAAGCGCTTCATCAGGAACGTTTAAAGCAAAATAATTACATTACATTATGTTTCAAGAGAATCCGTTAGTTTGATTGGCTAACAACAATCCCGCGTCATTCAAAACTTAAACTGCATATCAAAATGAAATGTTACATTCGTCATGACACGTGCTTCCACAAAGAAGTGCACAGGTAAATAAAAGAAAAAACTTGATAAAACTTTTTTTTCATGGTCTTAGCATAAAAATCTAATTATAAGAAATGAATGCTTCTTTTAGTAATTTCATAGGGTTGTAAAAGTGTTGATCGTGCACACATTTTTAAAATGAAACGCTTTCGCGCTTCATATAAAATATGCTTCGGTCAACACTTTTACACCCCAATAAAATTTCAAAAAGAAGCATTCATTTCTTAAATATCGAAAGCCAAGGATGTATAAAAGCCGAAAATTTAAAGAACTATATATCACAAAAAAGAACCTTTAAAAAAGGTCAACCTAGCCTGAGGGGGTTGAAACCTTAGTTTCTCGATAATTTTTCATTTTGTAAACGGACGGTTTAACTGATGACCTTTATGATCCTTGGTAATGCATTTCAGACAGATATGACATTCCACTGGAACTTGTCCTGCTTGAAGGGACTAGGCAGACGCCATTATAGTTATGAATAATTGCACCTTGTATTTCTTCCTTGGTCCTTTATTTTAACGCAATACAAATATATGTTGAAATATATTTTTTACATTTTCTGTAATCTACAGATATTTTTTTTCATTTTAAATAAATGTTAAAGCCATGTGTAAGAAAATATTCCTTAAAAGTCGACATAAAAGGAATATTGAATCGCTGTAAAGCAGTAAAACTTTTCATTTTCGATATTTATTAGAACTAATATAGTAATTCAGTGATTAGAATAGTCAACTTCAAACGTTCAAAAAAGGAATTCAGTAATTAATACTTTTAAAACACATTTTTTTCTAGGAACAACTGACAAATAAAATTAAAATTTGATGAGATAAGATAATTTTAGAAAATATTCAATAAAGTTTTCGAGAAACTGACTTGCATTCTATAGATAGTTTTTTAACAAATTACTTTACAATTACTTCAGGGAAAGGTTTCGATGACTATATATGGGGTCTTGGATTTGGGTTCACAGTATATAGAATGGTGGACCGAGAACAAAGAAAAGGGATTAATCATGTTATTGGTGTTCAAAATTTCTAAATTCACAAAATAGAGAATCATGGGCACATAAAATAAAGGAGAGGGAAAAATTGCCCGTAAAAATAAAGACTACAAACATATAGACACAACCCCATCCAGACCATCATATATCTTTACTCCATTCAACCTCTGGTATCTCAATATATTTTTGACAAATGTCTCGTTCATATTCATACTCATCTTTAAGTAATTCCGTTGTGTTTTTTAAATATGTAATCCCAGATTCCACTGAACTTATCAAATACGTGATCCATTTTCGAAACGTATTTCAATCTTGACTTAAATGCACAGTGCCGTTGCAGCATATGTGTACTTTGCGTTTCTACCAATAGTTTGGCTTATTTTTAAACGGATCACTAAACTGTAACTACATAAAGATAAACTCAAACCGCAATGTGGATATATGTTGGCAAGTTTTGATATTTATCCAAAAAGATTTATAGGAAGGAAAGTCTTAATTTAAACCATATGTATGTTAAATGGAAAATTATAGATTGTCTTTCTGAAACAAATTCGTTAGATTTTTTGACATCATCCGATGCAAAATTTCCAATAAAAATGTTAAATTTGCAAATTTGATATTTGAAAATATTCTTGTTCATACTTTTTTTTCACACCCATGACATTTAAAATAATGAACATCTGTTTATTTCAGAAAATGTGAATAAATATGTATTTCAACGGTTATTCATATAGCGTAACAATACATGATCAAGGAAGAAATACAAAGTGAATTTATTTATAACTAAAATGGCGTCTGCTCAGTCCGTACAAAGAGGACAAGTTCCAGTGGAATATCATTTCTGTTGACTATTCTATTCACTGCATAACAATATTCTTTCTGAAAAAGATCGAGAACGAAAAGGTTTATGGCAATGCTGCGATTCAATGCTTCTTTTATTTCAACTTTTTGGGAGGATATTGTCAAACCTCAAGATTTAAAATGATGAATAAATGTATATCACAGAAAATGCACACAAAACAAATTACAACGGATATTTGTATTGCGTAAAATACAGGATAAGGGAAGAAATACAAAGTGCAATTATCTATAATGGCGACTGCCCAGTCCCTAAAAACAGGACAAGCTCCAGTTGAATGTCATTTTTGTAAGGGAGGAACTAAAATTCGATGGAAATGTTTAAATTGTGACGTGTCAATGTGTAATCGGTGTAAGGACAACGTTCATTCAAAGTTAAAAATTGATAGTCAGCACGTTGTGGTTGATATTAAAGAGTTAGGAAAACATGGAAAAATTGAAGATGCATTCCCCTTTAGTGAAGTTAAATGTAACGAACATAAAGGGCAGGTGTGTTGTCTATTTTGTAAAACATGCAGACTATTAATCTGTCCAAAATGCATGGTCAAAGTTCACAACGGTCATCAGTTGATTGAAGACGAAGAATACAATAAAAAAAGAGAAAATCTAAAGGCTGAGCAGATGAGAATAGAGGAGATTTTATATAATTTGGTCATTGATAAAGAAAAATTGACGAAGATGAAGGAAGCTGAAAATGATAAATATGCGATAATGAAAAAAGAAATTCTTGCCCAGAAGAATCGGCTTTTGGAAGAATTAAGTCATAGATGGAAATCGATAAGTAATGCCATTGAACAAAAAGAGTTTCAAGTTGAAGAAGAAATGAAACAAATTCAAATGAGAAATGGCAACGTTAAAAATTTGATTACTACTAAAGATTTTGGGTATTTCTTTGAACAAGTTGATAAAATTCAAACATCAGGGGAAAAAGCAATGCCACCTACAGGTAGCTTTAACGTAAGCAGCATGCCAACGTATATTCCAGGAAAAATCGTAAAGTTATATGCAGAACAACCAGGCAACATTGAATTCAAAATATCAAACGAGTGCACTACAGATCTAAAACATATTCATTACATTGCTGTTTGTTCTGACGGTACCATATGGATTGCCGATAATGTATCAGCAAAATTACAGCATGTCAAACTTGAGGGTAAATCTGAAGTTATTTCAAATTTAAACATAGAAATATTCGGACTAGCTGCCACTGTCTCAAACGATGCCCTTATTGCAACTATAGGGAAAAAACTAAAAATAGTAAGTTCCAAGACAGGACAGATAACAGATTCCATTTATGCGGAAAGCTCATTGTTTCCAAGTTCCATCCATATTACCAAAGACGGAAAAATTATCTAAGGGACCATTACTGATGGCACAATTTTCCCTGCTACAGGCAGACGAACTGTAATTGTGATGAACCATGAGGGAAAACGTCTTAGGGAGTATGAATTTGACCGCCGCAATAAACCATTATTCACTGTTCCAATGTATATCACCAGTACCAATAGTGGTGATATATTTGTAGTGGACAAGGTGGATGCTACCAATAGAGGCAGAGTAGTAATTTTAGACCGATTAGGAGATATCATACAAATATATACCGGTCAACCTGATTTTGAAATGGAGCGGAAACCGTTTAATCCAAGAGACCTGATAGTTACACCTTCTGATACCATTATAGTTGCTGATATAAACAATAATACTTTGCATTGTCTTAACTATGACAGGCAAATAATAACTTATTATGATATGAGTACCATTGGAATTAAATTTCCGCATAGCCTTGGTCTATTATCATCTGGAACTATCTTTGTAGGTTGTATCACCGTGGCTGGCAGAAAACACGCTACAAAGGCCAACATTTTTGAGTTGGAATATTCAGAAATCGAATACTAATATTTTATCATGTGACAGTCTGGATATGGCGGTTAATTCATCCAAGCTTTTTTAATACTCACTGATTTTATAATTATTCAATGCGGGTTTTTTTTTTATAATAGAAGAAAGATTTCTAACGAACTGACAAATTGGCTAAGTGAGAGAAGGAAACCTACAAAAATGGCGGAAAAAAAAACACTAGCCGCATGATAATTTGTCTAAGTAGGACTCTTGGGCGCATTGTTATGTCAAAAAATGTTGTGCATTGTATATATTAATCGAGGATATTATGTTACTAAATTTACATACAAAGTGTTATGTGTTCAAACACTTCCACACAGTTGACCAATAAGAATCATTTTCAGTCCCACTTTCTGTTAAAATATCCGAAATGAAAGAGGCATTCAGACAATATGTGTTCACACCTAATATGGGGCGAAAGTTTAACTAGCTCAAATTTCCGATGAAAGACTTGTCGTTATATATTAACTGTTTGCAAAACTTTGACATTTTTGGAATACTAATGATTTTCAATCCAAGGAATCGAGTTTGACTTCAGCGCTCATCTCAATATTAGAATATATGACAAACAACGAGACGATTTCAGTTTTGATATGATACATTTTTCTCACCTAATCAACAATAGACCAATTTCACCCGCATATGGATACACATTTTTCAACTCATACGATAATCAAGAGCTTGCAGCTGCTACTCAAACTTTGTAGAACGTCATAGGTGTATGAGCAAAAGATTGATGAACCAGGAATTTGTCAACGAGCGTCTCGTACTTTTTCTCAAAACGTTCATCGGAAAAAACATAACATGAGTACCATTGGAACTAAATTTCCGCATAACCATGTTCTATTACCATGTGCAACTATTTTCGTGGGTTGTATCAGCGTAGTAAACACGCTACAAAGGCCAACATTTTTTAGTTGGATTATTTAGGAATCTCGTACTGGTATTTTATTATGTAGCAGTCTGGATATTGTGGTTAAGGTGGTACCATTCATCACCTTACTAAAACTAATTTTGCTCGTTTAATTTTCATAAAATTTTGACAAAATATTTACTTTGACCCTTATAGAAGTTTGACAAATACCAATTTTGATCATTGAAAAGCTTAATATTTCCTTAACAATAGAACTTGATTAAAACGTTCAGCTAATGTTTACAGAGTTATCTCCCTGTAGTGTTATGTACCACCTTAATTAATCCAATCGTTTAATAATACTCAATGACTTCAAAAGTATTCAATGAATTTTTCTTAATGCATAAGGAAAATTTAGGATAGGTAAACTACTTCACATATGGCGTTTTACGCACACAAAAATGGCGACAATTTACAAAAAAAAAGTGCCACTTCTTGAAACATTTCCCCACAGTTGTCCGATAAGAAGTTTTTCTGTCACACTTTCTGCCAAAATATCCGAAACTGAAGAGCTGTTTAGACAGTCTGTATATTTTGGACAGAAACTCTTCATTCACACCTATTGAGTTAAGAACGTTTGCCTAGTTCATACGCTCCGATTGAAATCTCTTTCGTTTTAGGCATAAAAACGAATTTGAAAAACAATGGTGTTGTGCAAACCTAATGAGAAACTTTCTTTACCAAACATTTGTCTTAAAACTTGCTTTGAAATGTTACTTAGATCTACATTTTATGAATAAATCCTATAGGTTTACACGTATACTCTAACCCCAGTTCGACCTCCCCAAATTATACTTTAAAAGAGAGGCGAAAGATACCAAAAGGGACATCCAAACTCATAAGTCGAAATTAAACTGTCAACGCCATATAAAAAAAAAGAAAAAAACCAAAACACAAACACAAACACAAACAGTATACAAAAGACAACTTAAAAAACGAAAAACTGAGCAACACGAACCCCACCAAAAACCGCGGGTTAACTCAGGTGTTCTGGAAGGTTTAGCAGATCCTGCTCCGCATGTGGCAATGTTAAAATCCTCGAACCTGCCACAAAAGAAGAACTGAGTAAAAGCAATAAGTTTCCAATTCTTTGTGTTGGAGACCGTATCACTACGACTATTGTCAACATATGTTGGATCTTACATCCACGTCGTTTGGCCTCTAGTTGACAGCTGTCTCATTGGCTATCATACAACATCTTCTCATTTTTAGTTATTCAAATTAAAAGTATCATTTATGTATTTAGAAATAAAATATATTTTACACAATTGACAGAAAGTTTAATAGTTTTAACTTCAAAACATAATCAAAATAATATATTGAGGGATATGTCCTAATAATAACTAAATTTAGTACGAATTTGAGTTTGTTTATTGATTTGAAAAGCTTTAAACAAATTGTTAGTTATTCTGCACAGTTATTACAATATGTTGGTTTTTTAAATTTTCTATGGCGATGATGTCAAACTTCTGACCGTCAAATTAGAACAATAGACGTCTTCTCTTGAAGCAGTTATCAAAAATAAAGTTGGAACTCTAATCTTTATTAATTTCGACCTGTAAATCTAAAAAATTAAAGAAACTAAGTTTTTAATTCCCTCAGGAAAAATTTACATTGTATAGATTTTGGCTATTTTGTATGTCCTTTCTGGTCATATAGCTCTTCAACTTTAGGTCATTACCCCCCTTTGGTTTCTAATATTCGGATGTGAGCGTTCTTGATGAAGGTGATTAAAGAACAGGGGCTTCGGACGCATGAAATTTATAAAGTGTTGTTTTCATTTTTTAGATTTGAATTGTTTTATGTTTTGTCATATCTGGACCTTTTATGGCTTGCTGTGCTAAGCGTGTTTTCTCATAGTTAGAGGTCATTCACTGAAATATTGTGGCTTACATCCACGTTATTTTGACTCTGGTAATACAAGATTGAACTGAACCGATTGACTAAATTCCAGTCTCCACCATGGTTACAAATTATGGAAACGACAACGATAAAAGCAATTGTCAATCAGTTTTATGTTCTATGGAAAAGGAAGATTTTATGACACATACATGTTTTACTACTTATTTATATTAAAAAAAAATGTAATGAAACTTGTGACAAACATTTTGAATTTTTGGCACAAAATATTAGATCAAATATCCATACAACGAGATCCTTTCCTATAATTTATATTTCAGAAAGAAAAAAATATATTGGAATAACTGTGCATGATAATGACAGCTTGATTAAATCAAATAAGAAATTAAATTCATACATATAGAAGATCAAACTAGTAACTCTTTCTGGGCATTGCTGAAATATTTTTAGAAAATGCCTTGTTTTCGTTTATTTGCAGAAATATGCAAATTATATGCAAATGAGCTATTCCTTGCTGCTGGTTCCTATTGACAACAATTAAGCTAAGATAGGGGATCATGGGAGAGGTGGTTGATTTTGGGTGGCTGGGTGGATTGCTGCCCTCGTGTTGTTCAACTGGTGCAAATAGCGTCAATGTTGACGATTTTCGTCCTATTTCCTGACCTGGAAGACCCAAGGATGCTTTTGATGTAGCTCAGTGTGGTCTGCATGTAGAGTAGACCCCAGTGAACATCCGATGAGTCCAAAATGCAACAATTTTTTTACCTAATACTGACCGGCTTGTAACCACAGATTGGTTGATATGATTAGTATGATTTTATAATGCGCTTTCTGCTGTTTATTTTTTTCAAATAAAAGTACTATAAGTATAGAAAGTATAAATTCGAATTATCGATGATCATATAATCCACAGAAAATAGAGGTCTTTTTCTCTATCACAGTAACAATATAGGTGTGCACCAGAAGCAGAAAAAATGCCTTAAAGGAAAAATTCGCGATTATTTACTTATAGTTTAAATATGTTCATTATAACATAATATACATATTCACAAAGTTTTATCGCGATATATGCAGTTATAAAGAAGAAAAACAATAACTGATTTATTTTTTATTGACTTCTTCCTGTAGTACGCGACGTTTTCTCCTGGTATTGCATGTCGGGATTTAAAGTACAATCATTTAAAGTCTTGGTCTTTAATCATATTTTAATGTAATTATAAGCGCGCCGGTGACTAATTTTGATAGCTAATTACCATCCGATAGTCAGAAAATAGAATGAACAAACATGCAACTTTTTACATTCATGAGATAAAATTTTCTATATTTACCGTATACATTTCAATTTATTTTTGTTTAAAGCACAAAAAGTAAATCTTTTTTTTTTTTTTTTAATATTTGCTTTTTCCGAAGGATATAGTGAACAAATAAAAGTATAACTAAACTGTAAAGACAATATATAGGTGTACGCTTATTGACCTTTTACTATCTACGCTAGGACTAGGTATATACGATGTGTGTATTATTCTCTGGCAATACTCGAAGAAGGCTTGTAAAAAGGTATAAGGTCATTTACAGATTGGCAATTAGCCGGGATTCTAGGGCACACCGTTCCAGGTGTGACTGTCAATTCGAATGGATTTTAAGACAGAAGGTCGAGTTTAATACACAAAGTTAAAATACATATTAAAGGTGGAGGCAAATACAAATAGATCGCTGTGGAATATTACATTATATTTAGGGTTAGGTCCGTTGTTAACCGAATCATTATTTTGAACATGTATTTCATATACTTGTAGGATGAATGAATCCGATGTTATAAAAATTACAAATAATGTTCAAATTTATAAATCTGAAGAAGAAGTTAAAATCAAAATGTTTTTTTTTTTTTTATTTGGTTAGTTGAAAAAACGAAGAAATAATCTTGGGAATACTAATAATCAAAAGTTATGATAAGAATATATCATTTACTGATCATAACGAAAAAATTGGTGTATCCAAAGCGTTATGATTTACCTCATACGGTTACAAAATGTACGGAAACACTCTTATCTAAATATTTGAAATCTTGGTAGGTGTTACCTGGCCAAAAGGTGTTTAATCAATATCGGAAACCATCTAAAGTCAACTTTGCCCATGTAGAATGGAACCGAAAAAATACATAGTTCGGCTGAAACGTGTTGTTTTATATTATTTAATGCTAGAAAACGTTTGTGGTTTGTATATAAGACAGACTGAAAGAATTGGATTTTCAATGTGCTTTATGTCTTGTACCTTTGCAGGACTTGTACATGTCATTCATATTCTTCAGTAGGACACATTATTCCCACTTTAAACAGACAAGAATACTCCTTAATACCGGACAAGCAGTAGTATTTTAAAATTTCTGTGATTTAATACCAAGTTTAATAAAACCACCAAAATAAATTTGATACTCAATATGTTTCCTTGAAAATAAACATATTCTCATTCGGTCTAAAAATAAAATATGAAATTGGTATACAGAACATTCAGAAGTGTGAATGTCATAAAATCTGGTTATATCAGAAAAAGGTTTTGAACGCCATTATAAACGTGGACCTGTATACGTAAGACCTCATGGGACGACACCTTATCATATACAGGTTATTAACATGTAGCTCTGTAATGCCTGGAAATGTCAAAGTAAATCACTACCTATACAGTATAGAATGTACCATGTGAAAGAAATTTTCACGATTGTAAAGTATGACCATTCATGATTTAAGAGGGGTCCAGGGTGGGGTCAATGATTTAAATTCTGACATAATTTTTTTCTCAACTTATATCACTAAACTAAACAAAAAAAAATACATACAGGAAAAAAACTCTTGTAGATTCATAGAATACTCCTTGATATCGGCTACAGTACTTAGTGGACAAGCAGTATTTTTAAATTTCGATGATTTAATAGAATAGATATTGAACCCCAATATATAATATAAACCAGTATATACGTGAAAGGTTATGGGACAGTACCTTACCATATGCAGGTAATATACATGTAGCTCCGCTGTAATACCCACAAATGTCAAGGTAAATCATTACCTATACAGAATATACCATGTCACAGGAATTATCACGATTGTAAAGCATCACCAGTCATCTTTTAAGATGTGTCCTATGTGTACCCCACCTATGGTTTAAATTCTGACTAAACATTTTTTGTTCAACTTTAATCATTAAACTAAAAATTTAGTTTTTAAATTACGTCCAGGAACTATTTTTTTGTTGTTGTAAATTTACGTTTTTCAACTGGTACTTTCGATAGAAGGGAGTAACGTTAGAATCATAAATTGACTCTACAATAAAACAATGTATACCCCCCTCCCCCAAAAAAGAAAAAAAAGATGAACGGTAAGT